ATATATAATATTTAACTTAATATAACATATTAATGCCAGCAACACACTTCAGCAGCAGTGGGACACACTTTTACCAACATTTGTCTGACTTTTGTAGGCAGCCTTAGCACCTGTTTACCAGCAGATTTTCATCAGATTTTCCGATGTGTAACATCATGTCATTTTCATATCCACCATATATGTAGATGGTGTAGTGTACACATGCACTGATAATGTGTTTAAAACAAAACAGAAAACCTGAATGTATTACAATCATTTTCTGTAAAAGGAAGAGGCATGTGGCAGAGAGTGGACTGAACGCAGGGTTCAACAGACAGAAATAAACTCAAAATCCATTTTATTTAGCTGATAACAGGCAAGGTAAACAGAAAGAAAAACAGGAGCAGGATAAGCATAAACTAACAAGAGGCAAATGAGACCAACAGAAACTCACACACTAAGAGGGAGAGCACAACAAAGAACAGAGGGAGATGCAGATGTTATAGACACAAGAGGAGAGTGGACACACCTGGAAGCACAGCTGAACAGAATCTAACAAGACAGGGGAAGAAAAACTGTACATGACGTACACAACACCACTATCAAAATAAAATAGGAACTAACACACATACTGAGAACCAGACTAAGACATGTTAACTTGACACAAGGACCAGACGTCCAGCCATGTCACAATGGGGACTCAAAAAGACGAAACACAAAGATTAGTGATGATTACGGGAACTCGACCAGACAACCACAGAGACAGGCCAAAGAGAGACACGACTAGGACAGACACAAAAAAGGATCTAACATAATTGAACAAGAACCAAGAAGAAGAAATATAAATAACAAAATTCAAGGGCACCAATGAATGCTAAAGTCAAGAGTCATTAATCAAGAACTAGAACATGAAAATCTTCTAGTTCCAAAGAAACGGATAATAAGTCCAACACAAACTCAAGATAACTGGTTGGAGAGCCAGGACCATGGGCTATAACTCACCAAGGCAACCCATCAGATGTTGAGAAATTGTCTTCCTTTTGTTTTTATTTTATGTGCTCATTTTGAATTTGAGGCCAGCAACACGTTTACCACTTTGTTGCATCATCTCATCATTTAACACTCTTTAAACACTCTGTAAAAGCTTGGGAACCAAGAAGACCAACTGCTGTAGTTGCAGAATTTTACAGAGTGTCCCACTTCTTTTGGTAAGGGAGAGAGGTGGGGGTTATGAATGTATTAAAAAGCTATTTGATCACAAGCGCAAGATGTTCTTGACATGTAATGTGTTAGGACAATAACAAGTCTGATTTTATAGTGTCATGGAAAGATCAAAGTACTATCTGGATCATCTCCATCTACTTATTCTTTAATTTGTCATAATTGTGCTTTCATTTTAAAAAAACACAGTTTTATGTACTCTGTTTTGTGGGAGTTTTTGTTTAAGGATTACCTTTTAGTTTGGTGGTCTAGTTGGAATTTACAGGGCAACAAAGGAGCAGTGTGGCTTTCATTTTATAGCCAAAACCTGCTATACTAAAGCTTGTTTCTCTGTGCTACAGATGTCTTTTTCCCTCTATGGCACAGATGAATAGGCTGCAGAGCTAAATGTGTGTTGGTTTCATCCCCTCACTCTCTAACAAATAATTTTCCTTTTGATGTTTGTGTTTATTTCCTGTCTTCTTTCTAGCAATGGAAAGTCACGGTGAGTGTGAGATCAAGGTGCAGCTGAACTGCAGCCACTGTCAGACGCAGAGCTGCAAACGAGAAGCAGATACTCACCTCATCCTCTGCCTCTGTGATGATGATGATGAAGTCCTGGACATTGACAACGTTACATGTTTTAGGCCTCCAAGTATGTCTGTAAAACCCAGCAAACGGTCTTGCTTTTACTTGTGAGCCATGATATGTCAGACGTTTTGTTTTAATGTTAGTTTTAATGACACTTTTAATCCCTCACAATTCTTTCCCATCTAAGCAGCTAACAAACACTAATTGACAATCTCTGCTCCACCCCTCCAGCGCCTCGTCAAAGCCCGACTCTACCGGTCCCGGTCCCGATGCCGACATCCCTGATCCTGGCTGTTGTGGTCTCCACCGTCGCCAGCGGCTTTGCGCTGGTCTGCGCCGGCGTCATCCTCAGTAAGAGACTCCTCCAGTTCTGTGCGCAGTCTGTGCCCTCCACCTTCCACCGGCTGTGAGCACAGCTGGGACACGCACATGCTTCCAGATGTTACTAACAACAGAAACAGAAACAACTTTGATAAATGTTGGTTTAAATGCCCTTCGCTGGCTGTGTGGAAGATGACTAAAGGAGCGATGGCAAAGATATGGTTGAATTATTAGACGCTGACAGTGAGCACAGTATGAACACTCATTACAAGCACTCATTCCAGGTAACGCTCTCTTTTCTCTGGCTGTATGTATATACAGTATAAATAGGTGAAACTAGACTATTTTGCTGATGAGAGGCGATAAAGAGGTGACTGTTAAATACCGTATTGTTTATATGCTGTATTCAGTGCCTGCAGTGGAACGATTGCTCTCATGGAAGCATGAACATTTTCGAGACGTGCTGTAAGCGTCTCGCTGCATGAATTCATTCTAAAAAAAAATGCTGATTATAAAAAAAGCACAAGCAGAAAGAGTTGACATTTAAGTTTCTTTCAGTATGAGTGGGTTTCTGTAGCGGTAAATGTCAGCTGTTATAATTTATTGTCTGTAAAAAACAAAAAAACAAACACAGAAGTGATTATACAGACATGAAGATTACAACAGTATTTGAAAATGAAGAACTGTGATAAGAGATTAGCCTTTTTTGTCATTTTGAGAAGCGCGCAGCGACAAGCGTGAGTTGAGCTGAACCCACGGGCATCGACTCCGTGATAAGAGGATAGAGCAGAAATTGTTCCTCTTTAAAAGTGTTAAATGCTATCCACACAAAGTGCTATGATATGGAGTATTAGAATAAGTAGGTGCTTGTTTGCTGAGCGACAAGGTTACCAGAGTTTCTCTTGTAGGCTGCGGGTTTGAGACAATCAGATGGTCAGGCAGGCTGTAAAATGCTAAAATAGGAGTAATTAGGGAATTAACCATTACATTTGTATAGCTTTAATTTAACTACTCTGTAGCAACCACACTTAAAACAGGAAGCTCAAGAAAGAAGAGAGGGATTCTGAGACAACCACATTTTGACAATGAACATGGTCTCAAAGGCTGCTATGCAAAATATACTGTTAAGTACCTTCTTTTGTATACCAAATCTCGTTTGATTAACTCCAGACACTTTATACAAATACAGTTTTAACAACACGTGGAGTCATTTTCCAGTAATGTAGGACAGTGAGGGATTATACAGCTAATAACACTCGGAGCACCTTTGTCACCTTTTGTGACAACTGTGTGCTGCAGACTTTATGAGAAGGGAATCCTCTAACAAGAGCTTTGTAAAGGTGTGCGTGTATAGCAGGTTCTCTTTCTCTCTCTCTCTGTTGTCCTTTTCATGACCTCACTGAAAACTCAAATATTAAGCAAAGCTCAGCTATTTTCCCACAGCGCGAATTGATGAGAGTAAACTTTGTGTCAGAGCCTCTGGAGGAATCGGCGCTGCGCTGACTTCCTGCAGAATAACAGCTACACTCCCAGCTCCCCAAGGGTTTAAAGCAGCCTGACAAGAAAACCAGGCATGACCAAACAGTTGGGACTTTTTAATGAAGTAATGCATGTAAAAACCTCCTGTAAGGAAAGCGATATGGAGTAACTCTTACAGATTTAAGAGTAATATGGACACTTCACCTCCTGGCAATGAAATCCGAGCAGAATAATGTCCGTTTTCCAGCCGAGCCTGAAGCAGAAGGTATTTGAAAATTTATGTGGTGACCTCCACCTTCACACTCCCCCCTCAAATTTCCGTTTCGCCACAAGCTTTATTCTGAATCCCTTATATCTCATGATAGCTTAGCATGAAACGTTTAACCTCCCATTTTAAATGACACCCTTAACGCACACAGTGCAGTGAAACAGTGCTCTGATGGAGTCGACTGTTTCTATTTTTTTGTTATCAGTAAGTGCTAATGGCTGACCATTAAAAGATGGCGATTTATGTTGGATGTGGTTGGTTTTCTGTCAGCAGAAGTGAGAGAATATGTCGATAAAGTGCGGCGGACTTGGTGAAAAGCGACGTGTGAGAGCTGGAAGAGGCGAGTTATTCATCAGATAAATGTCCTTTTAGGATAAAAGACTGCAGTCTGCATTTCTGCTGTGAAGTTCTTCCTTAAGAAAGTTTGAGCTCGGTGTAATTAAACATAAATACAACCCCGCAATCAGCTTATCAGAGTGTAATCTGACAGACGATAATTGCAGATACGGCGGTGCTACTAGTGGTGCGTACTGGGCCACTATATGCAAAATGGAACACTAACTGCATTGTGTGTAAATGTGTGCACTTGCTCTTAAATAAATCAGTTCCTAAACAAAGGCTGATGACATTCATTTTTATAACATCTGCTTTAAAAAAATACATATTTGGGGAGGATGGGGTGTTTTTACTGGAGCGTGTTTAATCTTTTAAAAAAGGCAATGAACGTACACACACGCTTCAGGTTAATGGTGTCTCCTTACCTGAGCTCTCCCCCATGCAGGGAGGTAGTCTGTTCCCTGGGCGCCCCATGTCCTTCACCCCCACCTCTTCCTCCTCCTCCTTCTCCTGCTTCTCCTCCTTAAAACTCCCCTTATCCCAACTCCTGAGTCCCTAGCATCTGCACCGGGCGATGGCTCGACGGCACCTCTTACCTGCACGCAACGCCCCCCCTCCCTGGCAGACTACCAACCTGCATCGGGGACATGGGCTGCCTCCATGGCGGGTGAGTCCAAACTCACTGGCACAGACAGTATAGGAGCAGTAACCAAGGAGAGGCCATCCCACATGCATGTCAGTTAGGTTAGTGGCTTTAGAAAGAAGCCAGCTCACTTGACTTCTGAAGGCAGCTCATCGTCTCTGCTTGAGGCTTCAATAACTGCTACTAACATAACATAACGTGTGAATTACAGATCCATACTGAGGGTGGTGTTTGAAGAGGTAGAACTCCAGTGTTGGAGAAGTGCTATGCAGAATTGGTGGAGTATTCTTTAAGAACAAAAATGAAGCCCTTTTTGCCATATTTTTATAGCTTTATTCCCACTAAGAATGTTGTTTTAGGATTGAAAAAGTTATCGAGATGTGGCTTGATCCCTCCTTGTGTTGCCGCTCCTACGTTCAGACAGATGGTCAGGAAGATCCTTCTGCCACTTACATGCACTTGTAGGGTCCTGATTAAAGTTTTATGATAATTTTTGTCAAGGGTTTGTCGACTCTTTAATATAACAAGCTTGTTCGTCCCTCTGCCTCGTCTTTTTCTGCAGTGTGGTACCACAAAAAGAACGACCTGCCTGCAGTGAGGGGGCGTCTTCAGAGTCCCGAGTATAAGCTGAGCAAAATCCGTTCCTCCACCATCATGACGGACTACAACCCAAACTACTTTTTCACCGGCAAAGCCACTTCGTTCAGTGAGCTGAAGGAAGTGCCACGCAAGAACATCACCCTACTGAGGTATGACACAAGCGGACTCAATGTTAGAGTGCCAGTTTAAGCTTCTGCTCTCCACCAAACGTGTGCCTTCGTTTCATTCGTTGTGTTTTCTCTCCTCTTTAGGGCCCTTGGTCACGGAGCCTTCGGTGAAGTCTATGAAGGTCAAGTTCTGGGGATGAGTGGTGATGGCAGTGCTATGCAGGTGGCCATAAAGGTCAGCCACTCATATTTTCTTAAATATTTGCACTTAAATGTTTAACAATGACACCTCGCATGTATGTTCAGTACTTATAATCCCATAAGTGGTGCTTCTGCTTCTCAGAGCTAAAGGTCATGGAGATGCTTTCACTTACAAAATGATTGTTGGCTTTTCTTATGTTGTGCAAAGACTGCAGCACAAAATGACTAAAAAAGAAGAATGCAGATTTGCTCAACGTCCCTGGATAAGATGCTTTAAAAGGCACACAGTTTAAAAAGGGAAAAGCAAAAAAGCAGAGAGAGCACCGCATGGGGTTACCTGCTTACAATGCTCTGCTGATTAGGTCTGAAAATTTATATTTCCCCTTAAAAGTAGCACACACTCAAATTCTCTTTCTATTCTGCAGACTCTACCAGAAATCTGCTCCGAGCAGGATGAAATGGATTTCCTGATGGAGGCTCTGATTATGAGGTGCACGAGACAGCAACCATACACTTCCTTTGTGCATTACACACACACACACACACACACACACAAGAAGTGGCTTCTAAATATTTGTGTTCACACACTAGGAGATGTGAAACTTTACTCATTAGAAATCAAAAGAATGACATAATTGTCCCTCAAAGACAATCGTGTCTGCAGGGGTAAATTTTGATCTCAGGAAAATGTGTGACGTTAATTGGTTTCTAGCGGTGGTTGCTTGGGCCTGGGTGGCTCAGTCGGTAGAGCATCAGACTTTTAATCTGAGGGTCCACGGTTCAAGTCCCTGTTCAGGCGTGCTTAGTTTACCTAATTTCCTTAGGTGTTAATAAAGTATTATGATTTCCCGTCTGATTTTGTTAAAGTCTACTCTATTTACAGGTCCATCCCTCAGTCAGCAAGTGACAGTTTTAAATACTTGTATTCTGGCTGATTGAAAATTGAGACTTTTTTGTAGTTGTATAATAAGTTTATCATTAATGAGATTTAAAAAAATTAACACTAAAAAAGAGGCAAGATATGACAATATGACACAGTGTGATTATTTATTTAACAAAATTTAAGCCAAAATGCAGAAGCAACGTGTGAAAAATTAAGTCGCAAACTGCTGCCAATCTTCCCAGGAGTGGACATCCCAGTAAATTCAACCCAAGCTCAGACCCTCCAGCGCTCAGAATAACGGCAAAAAATCCAAGATCTACACTTTGGTTACATTTTGTAGACTAAGACTAAAGAAAGGTTTGGAAAGGTTTTGTTTTGCGGTCACAGGACCTCGGCACCTTGCGGTCATTCAAAGGAGTTGACCGTGAACTCCTTTATATAGCTAAACTAAGATTTACAGATGTGTACAGGGATTTGTGTGTAATTTTTGAAGAGTCACAAGCACATGCTCTAATCCACACACAAATAAGCAGCAATTTTACCACACGTACAAATGCGTGCATCCATACCTTCGCTATATGATGTAAACGAGTTTGACATCCAGAGTGTAAAGGAAAGAATTCCTCCACAACAATTGGAGTCGAATCATGGGGTGCGCTTGATTTTTCACACGCTGCTTCTTCATTCTGCCTTAGTTTTTGTTAAATACATAACGACTGCATTAACATGTGTTGTTCTGATGGTTTTTGAGGTTGTATTTAAATTATTTTTTAGACCTCATGAGGACCAGATTGTTTTTATTATTTATTAAATCTTAAAACCTTACAATTGTACTTTCTTGTTACCATCAATGTATATTTAAGGACGTCAAAGTCATCTTAAGCCTTCTAAACAAAACACCCTGTTGTTAACTGCCCATGCAGCAAGTTCAGCCATGAGAACATCGTGCGCTGCATTGGCGTCAGTCTGAACATCCTGCCGCGCTTCATCCTGCTGGAGCTGATGACCGGAGGAGACATGAAGAGCTTTTTGAGAAGAAACAGGCCACGAGCGGTGCGTCTGTACTACACCTTTACATGTGTGTTTGTGCCTGCAAGCTCTGTGTGTTTACGTCGCACACTAAACTGATCTGTGCTATGTCCAGGGCCAGACCTCGTCTCTCACCATGCGGGATCTGCTGCGCATGGCCAGAGATATCGCCTGTGGATGTCGCTATCTGGAGGAGAACCACTTCATACACAGGTTCGGATTCGCACCCAGTTTTCGCAGCTTAGAGCTCATAAAAGTGCAAACTCAAAGCGGTTTTTCAGCCACGGCAAAAAGGAAATGTGTTAGCAGAGCTACGCTGTGGTGAAATCTGCATAAAAATGATTCATTAGACATTCTGTAACGCTGCATATGTTGCTTTAAACGAAACCTCTTGCAATGCGACAAAAAACACATAAACAACTATTATTTCATTTTGACTGCAGTTTGAGTTTGTCTCTTAATTTGAAAAATGTGTACAATCATTTGCAAGCACGAATAATCATGCATTTGAAGGTTTTTCAAAGGCCTTCGTTTCTTCATTGCAAACCGCAGTTCTGAACATTTTCTGCAGCAACAAATTTGACAAAGTAACAACAAGCTTCTCTGTTTCGTGTCATCGCACAGATAAATCATGTAAAGGATTTTGTGTTTTTCAGAGACATCGCTGCCAGAAATTGCCTCCTTACCTGCCCTGGGTCGGACAGAGTGGCTAAGATTGGAGACTTTGGCATGGCACGAGATATTTACAGGTTCATATACGCTACTCCAAATCTGCAGTGGCGCCCTATCCACCCATAATTTAAGATGGATTGATGTGGTTATTGGAGCGTGGCTAAATAGATTTTTCATTTCCCTCCACAGGGCCACGTAATTTACTTACATTTCAGTTCGTGGCCTTTTAGCATTTACCATTTGTTCTTAACTCAGCCTAAATGTACCCTGCCTTTCTTTCTTTGTTTTCCAGAGCCAGCTATTACAGGAAGGGCGGCCGGGCCATGCTGCCAGTTAAGTGGATGCCACCAGAGGCCTTCATGGAGGGGATCTTCACCTGCAAAACTGACACATGGTATAAAGTCTACCACTAAATACCAGTAGACAAAGAAAATCACAAGACAGCTGTTGTTAATTTTGAACTGTATACACTTTGCTTTTGTCTCAACACTGGGACACCATGTTCGGAAATATATCATTTAGAAGTGCCACACATTTGTAGGTCTTTGTAAATATCATGCGGTCATGCTAACTGTTCTAACACTACAGTGATTATTCAGATGTCTGAAACATTTTCTGGACAATAAAACAACTAATACCAGATGGCGAACTTATTGTAATCGAAAACAGACGCTGGCAATGAAAGAAATTTACTTTGCAGCGGTGTCAAAATGCAAAAAAACAAAACAAAACAACAGAAAAAAAAATTCTCACGAGGTATGAAAAGTATTCGCCAGCGAAACCGAATTCGATTTTATTAAAAGCCTATATGTGGTCAGTACGATGCCCTGCAGGGAGGTTTCCACAAACCAAACATGTCTGCTCCTAGTAGACAAAGCTAGGGTGCATTACATCAAGTGAACATCTTTTCAAAACCAGGACAGCATTTGTATTCAAGACACTGAGCCAGCCAAACAAAGAGCACTCTATTGTTGTTAGGAAAGCGCAGTGGCTGTAATGGTAGAGGAGCGGCGTCCAAACCGCTTCTCCTGTGACAGTGCAAGTCAAATATTTAGTTTGGGGCAAACCATTTCAAAACCTCTATTTGGTAGAGTGAAAGAGAGGGTTGTTTGCAGATCAGAAAGTTAGACCCTTATAGAGGAGAGACCGCAGCATAATCGATTTGACCAGCAGTCTATTAAAATCCGAGCATGTTGATGGAAACGTGCACAGAGGCAGCTACAGTTGCACCGCAGTTCGTCCCTTCAAAGCTGTTTAGACGGGGAATCATTCATCGGCAAGATATCTCCTCTGAACAAATGAAGGAAAAACAAAAAAAACACACGAGTGTTGCAGCTGCTGCGGCTTTCCAGTCATGTATGAATGTGAGAGTGAATGAATAGTGGAATTCAAATGCAATCCATTATTATTATTATTGGTTAAGAAAACTCAACGCCAGTGATCTACTGCCCCAGGGGTGTCAAACATAAGGCCGGGGGGCCTGAATTGGCACAGCAAAGACCTCAATCCAGCCCACTGGACGGCTTTGGAAAATGTGAAGCAGTGCGTTGATTTTTGAACTTTTAGTTGTGTTTCATAGATTTTAAAGCTTTTCCTATTAATCAAGACCCCCCCCCTCCCCCTCATCCCCCATTGGCATTCATATTAGAACAAAGTGATTAACTAACAGATTAACAATTATGTGACAGGAAAAATCCCTGTTTTCACACTGTCTGCTATGGAAATGTCTGTTTTTCTGTGAATGAACCAACACTTTATGATTAGAATTACAGAGCAGTCTGGAAAAATGAACTACAAGAACAATTTTACTCATTTAACCTGTAGTTTTACTGGGCCAGCCCACTTAAACTGAGCTGTATGTGCCCCACAATGTGAAATGAGTTTGACATCCCTATACTGCACTGTTCGGTGTAGCAACCTGTAACTGGATGTTGTTGGTAAGGTTAGAGTGTTTTTTGCTCAAATGCAAAAATGATGCTTTACAAGCAAATAAAAGCAAAAGGCTTACAAAAGAAGAGGCAAACAACGGGGAGTAACAAGGCCTGCAGGGTTTTAGAAAGCCAAAGAAATTAATAAAACCAGAGGTGGTTACTAACACTGTTCCACTAGAATACTAATTTAGAAGAAGAAAATAATACCCTGCCCAAAACAAAGTAAACCACAGCAGGAGTCTCACTCCTAATGTCACTAACAATGAATAATCTTTGATCCTTTGTCTAGTGAAAGTCAAGTTTGTGGAAATGGGAGAGCTAAACCTTAGTAAAACCACCTACTATGGTAAATGGTCTGTATTTATATAGCGCTTTACTAGTCCCTAAGGACCCCAAAGCGCTTTACACAACCAGTCATCCACCCATTCACACACACATTCACACACTGGTGATGGCAAGCTACATTGTAGCCACAGCCACCCTGGGGCGCACTGACAGAGGCGCACTGTAGATACACTTTAGAGTAGCTGTACTGGGAGATTCACTGGGTTTTTTTATATATTTGTTCTGGTTGGGTAACACCTCCATGGTCATTGCCAGGTGTTGAACAGTGTTGGACATGGTTATCAAGGTGTAAAAGATGTTACACAACATTTTCAGGGTCTCTTGGGGACTCTTATCAGTTAGAGTCGGGAGCAGGAAGCAGAGTGATTGAGATCTGGGTCACAGGGGGTCATGACAAGCACACAACTGAGAAAACAGAGAGCTAGAAAAACAAAAACAAGGAGATTTCTACACGAATACTTAAACTCGCTGCACTCTTAATTCAGCAGGGGAAAGAAAAGGGCAATTACAAGCATTTATTTTGTCAAAAGAAACAAAAGAATCACCCTGAATGGTGTCAGCTTCTATTCAGGAAAAAATTGTTGGTTTTGTGTTTGTTCGTGATGTTTGCATTTGTTGTTCCTTGTCTGAGGAACATTACAGTAGAATAAGTTTAGCACTCAAAGACAACTTCATCCACTCAGTTATTGATCGATGTCTCCCTCTTCAGGTCATTTGGAGTTCTGCTCTGGGAGATCCTCTCGCTGGGTTACATGCCATATCCTTGTAAAACCAACCAGGAGGTCCTGGAGTTTGTCACCAGCGGAGGCAGGATGGATCCTCCCAAAGCCTGCCCAGGGCCTGTGTGAGTACTGACTCAAGTTGCGGTTTCTGTGGGCTTTTTTTCTTGGTATTTTTTTAAAGACATAATAATGTTTGCTTCATCTTCCACCTTTGATGTGATGTTGATTAAACCTGCTTCCTTTGTCTACTCAGTGAGTGATAAACGGGAATTAAGGACAAATTCAGAATTTCAACAGTTGTTCATTTGCTGGTTGTTTCTCTGCTTCTGTCGATTACTGTTTAGCTATCGGATCATGACCCAGTGTTGGCAGCACTGTCCTGAGCATCGGCCCAACTTCTCGACTATCCTGGAGAGAATCAACTACTGTACTCAGGCATGCATCTTCTCTAGATATTTAAGACTGCTAAGGTTGCTTTTTTGTGTCTTTTAAATGTTTTTTCTCTGATTATCATTTAATCCTCACTCTTCTTTTTCTCTCTCAGGATCCAGATGTGATCAACACGCCTCTACCTGTGGAATATGGCCCCAACACGGATGATGACGGAGGCACTGTAATCCGTCCTACTGACCCGACATCTACCTGTCTCACTCCACTTCTAGTCTCACACCCTCCCTCCCAGGATTGTCCCTCCCAGCTGGGTTTCTCAGCCATGGGCCTGGGTCCCACCCCTCTTCCCCTGCAGCCTACAAAGCCCCGTCTGCTCCTGCAGAGGACCCAACCTGTCCACCATGAAGTCACATCATGTCGCGAGGTTTTGGAGCCATGCTGGGCTGAGCCCGTTCCTGCCCCTGGTTTGTCAGCGGTCTCCAACTGGCTCCACCCTGAGCCTCCTCATCACCGACCCTACTCCAGAAACAGCTCTTCCTCAGAGAACCAGAGGCTGAAGAACAAGACTAAGAACCTCTGGAACCCCACATATGGATCCTGGGTCTTGGATAACTTAAGGGGGAAGAAGGCGCTCACTCACACCCAGTCCATGCCACTCTCGAGCTCCACCTCCAAAACGCAGACCCACAGCCCAGCTTCAGAAAACCACGAGGCTGGCAGTGACGGCACCAGCAGCACCTACCTCAGCCCTAAAAGCCTCTGCACTTCCTCGACTTCATCTTCTTCTTGCCAGGCTCAGGCTGCCTCTAGCACGTCCTCCCATAAGACACCAGCAGGCGGTGGCACAAAATCTATGGACCTTGCTAAGCTCCAGAGTTTCCCATGTGGCAACGTCAACTATGCCTACGACGAGCAAAGCTATGAGGCAGAAAGCCTGCCGTTGGTTGTGCCCAAAGCCCCAGAAGATGTGAAAAACACCAGCTCTGCTACCAGTGTCTCATCAGGGAGTAGCCTGGGACTAGCATTAGGCCTCCATACCCCCTCATCCTGCATGCCCAAGCTGCTGCTGCTGAAGCGCCATGCCAGCTACGGGCATGAGGATGTGAGGAGACACACCAAAGCTGAGAAACCCACACGTGACAGAGACTCTGGCTTTTCTCTGTCTGAAGACCTCAGTGTTACTCCTATCTAAGAAAAGGATTCAAATGTCACCTGAATCCGTTTCTCAGAAACTGAGACTTTAGCTCTGGAATTTTTAGAATAAAAAGCATGACCATGAAGGCTCCTTCATGGTCAAGTGCCACAGTGTCTGATTCTTACAGCTCCTAGAATGCTGGAAAACACAACTGAACATTCCCGTCCACACAAACACTCTGTAATACAGAGAGCCAACACTGGAGCCCTGTCAAAGGCTTCTGATACCATAGTAGCTGAACACTGATGCTGAAACACTGGGAGACTGGCGGCCCTGCACTTCCTCAGTGTCCACACTGTGGGTGAGGGCTGCCAAAACGTACTGCTGTTGATGGACTCCTTTTATACCTGTTATTTTTTCTTTTTGCTGTATTTTATTCATGAAAGCTTTGCTGGCAGTATATGTGAATTTGTAGTATTTAGTGTATGACCATAAAAGACTAAAAGAATATTGAGTCATTGGGAGGAGAATCTCCAAGACGTTTTAATTTCATAGGTATAAATTTTTTGAAAAGTAATTCCACTCTTTTGATGCTGATGGGCAGAATCACAGCTCTATATACACTTTAGGACCTTTATACTACTCGTTGGTACTCTAATATAATTGGTTTCATCCCATACAATGTGAAAACACTTCCTCTGGCAATAACGTGTATTTTCTGACTTGGTAGGTGAAGCACGAGCCTGTTTCCAGCCTTGTTCTCAGCTAACTGGATACTGGTCTACAAATTTAAAGTTTGGGGGGTTTAAACTCTTTTTGACTCTGGATCAGTGGTTCTCAAACTGGGGAGGGGCCCCACCCAGTGGAGCAAAGAGCCACTGCAGGAGTGGTGTTAGGAATCAGGGTACACTCAACAAAGCGTTGAGCTGCTTGCTATTGCAAACATCTCATCAGCCAATCAGGTGGCAGCAACTTGATTTAGGCATTTAGGCATGGTCAAGGCGACCCGCTGAAGCAAGCATCAGAATGGGGAAGGAAGGTGATTTATGACCACGCTGTACCCATCTTCTGATCCAATAGAGCAACTTTTGGGATGTGGTGGAAAAAGGGATTCACATCCTGGATGTTGGAACTTTGTGATGCAGTCATGACAGTATGGACCAAAATCTCTGAGGAATGTTTCCAGCACCTTGTTGAATCTATACTATGAAGAACTGAGGTAGTTCTGAGGGTACATGGGGTCTACCCCTGCATTAGTAAGGTGTATCTAAATCTAATGAGGTGTAAATATAACTTTATGTATGCTAATGCTTTTGTGTTGAATTGCATCTTTTTCACAGTGCGCTAAAAATTGTGGGATGGGGGTCGTGAGCTTGAGTGTACCAGAAACAGTCTGAGAACCACCGCTCCAGATTGAAATAATGGATGTTAGCTTCTGAAGAAACCGGCCCACCAAATTAGACACATTTGCTTTCTTTGAGGGTTTTATTTTTGTGGATGAGGTCTCGTTCCCCTTGTCCCAATATTTACTTGGCTTTAGAGATGTTTGAAGAGTCCGAGTTTGATGACGACCTTGCAGCTAAGAAAACACGAAAGCTATTTTTGTACTTGCTCCTACTTGCTTACACTGGACTAACATTACATTTGTAGCTGTTTGTTGTTGATGTTTTGTTTTTGCATTTGCATTCAGTCATGTTAATGATGAATCTGTAATCGATCACTGCCATTCGATACGTACTGCTACACTGCCTCTATAGATGTAGTGCTGGTAGTACTTACGTTTACTCAACAGGGGGAGGTATTCAACTCTGAAATACCAAACAAGTTGCTGTATTTATGCTTTCAGGTTATTCTTATTTAATCAAGTTTATAGTTGTACTTGGTGTGTGACATTATTTTGAGCCTGAACATGGCAATATTATATTTTTTGATATGTTGTTACATTTATGTAAGAGTTCTGTAGGCTTACTGTGTGTTATAAGATAAGACCTGCTGATATTTGTGTCTTTATCTGCTGTTTATCTCTTTAAGAAAAAAAACGTTTGTGCCATATAGCAATACTGATTACTGTGGATTGTTTTTTTTCTCATTTTCTTAAAGAAGAAAAAAAAAGACCCTCATCTTACTCATAGTTTATATTTCTTATGTCCCGGTAGATTTTATTTCACACTCATTTCAGTTTTTATTCCTGTATTTTTGTAGCTGAGGATGCCTCAAACAAAAGTGCAAAGACATTCTATGCAATATACCGTCTTTACTTTCATCTCACCTAACTGTGCCCCAAATAAATCAACATATATCAACCTCACTTGTGTGAGTATGATCAGTCACACACATTTATATCCCTGCAAAAGGCCGTCAACTCTGTCCAGACTAACACGCGTAACACATATAGTGTGAAATAGTGTTCCACCACTAAAGATAGAAGAAAAACGTTGTTCCCATTTTAATTTCATTTACATTTGATGACGTCCATCACCGGAAATAAAAACGATTACAAGTTTGATCACAGGAATGAACTTGATTAAAGAGAAATAATCTGCTATACAATGAAAGACAGTTCACCAGAGACTAACACACATAATACACTCCAGTCATTACGCAGTAGACTGTGCTATACTGGGAATGTGCTATATTTTGTAGTTATAACTGTGAGGTCTGTGAGCCAAACAGTTACATACTGAACATACGCCCCAACCTTTAATAATACACTGAAGGCTGATGGTTACAGTAAGTGGTGTAACGTGAGAATGAGTCTGTAACTTGTGCTCGTTCGCTCTCTTCTTGAGACAATGAACAGGCACATTTTTATGAGGCTTTTCACTCGTAACATCCTGAAAGTGAAATGCACAATGCCTGCACTTCTACTTCTGTTCATCGTGTAGGAGGCTGAATTAGTGTCGGTGCATTTTCTCAATCATTTTCCTTATAGTGACAAAACTTCCTGCTTCCCTCTGTTCAGCATCCGTCGCACAGCGTCGGTTTTTTTTGCCGGTGTCGATGCTAAATGTGGTCACATTACATTTAAAACGGTGAAAACCTGAGCCTCGGATCTACGTTTGATGCCCGTCATGTTCTTGTTTTCATTTTTAGTATTCTGTGCTTTAAAAAAAATAACCCCGACCAATCAATCATATCTGAAACCATCCCGCAGTGTCCATCAATATAGTTGCTGTTCCTTAAACCCGTTGAGTCAAAGGTCACTGGCTGTGTGTTTCTGTATTTTGGCTGTTTTCTTTGGTAACCGAGCTACCGATTTCTGCGCCGGCGGCACTGCTCACAGACTCCAGTGTGTGGATGAGGTTTTCCAAACCCCACAGGTAACCATCCTCCCGGTTTCCCTCCTGCCAGGGAATGTCATGACTTAATGTCTGGCCCTCTGGTAATGCCGTGGTCTTGCCAAAGTCAATAATCCAGACTTGCGCGTTGCCCGTATGGTCATGGATAAAGAGGAGGGAGCTGCCAATGACCTGATAAAACAAAAAGCTGTTAGTATTAGCTTTTGATTCTTCATCTTCTGCTTTTAATAACCACTCTTGCATCAATACAGATGGGCGACATATTAAAAAAAACCCTGCAGCAGTACTTTTTCTTTTTAATCCAACACATCGTTAGCTGTTACATGACGTACAACTGGCCAGAAATAATGTGATAATTCAGCCACGGTTCAGTGTAAGCAGTACGGATACACGGCCGCGTATCTATGTAAACTTTAACAGTCCAGTTTCATGTTGAAATATTTTTTATGCAAGTAATATTATTACGTAACACTCAGTACCCGGTGTGTGTTTGATGGCGATCTCAAGCCTATCATTAAAAAAAAGAAATAAGTAAGATAATATTTTCTAAGAAAAAAAAGAAAAACTCTTTGTTCCCCTGAGTGGAGCTTTGGAGGAAGTGCCAGGTGCAAAAATATTATTTGGCTGCTTTGTTTGCTTCCCTTTAATTTGCCACACATCTTTACTGTACGCAGAGGAGCTCTCACCTCGTGTCGCTTGAAGAACTCTGATGTCTTCAGGGCTTGTTGGATCTCTGTCAGTTTGCTCAAATATGACTTCTGTGGTTGAAAAAAAAATTAAAATAATTCATATATTAGATGGATTAGATAGCTGGAACACAACAGGATGTAGGCAGAGTGTATATTTGAGAACCTCCTCCCTAATAGAAAACTCAAACAGCATCACAGTGCGAATATTTGCTCTGTGGTTTACTCTCGTAGATCGCTTCGAGGCTGTTTTTGTTTGCCTTTAGAGCTTTTTTCAAATGTAAAGGCAGAGCCTACAAACAATTTCTATCTGTTCAAACACTGAACGCGGATGTGGGAGCCTATTCGGCTGCTGCATTCGTAGCTGATGAGCCGTTTCAGGTTAACGCCTGCACCGCTGCACTGTGTGTCTACTCCCGAGTCCTTACACGGATGAATAAAAATGTGCGTGAAGAGGATAACTGACTGCCACGTACCACGATGTTGACGTTTCCACCGACAAAGTCCTTGAAGACTTGGATGACATCCCGCTTCGATCTTGTTTTCTTGAAGTCAGTTCGACATGTGCCGTCACTTTTCTAAAGAAAAAAGAGAGAGAGCCAACCGTTCACACCTATGGGCAATTTAGATGCACCGAGTAGCCTAATCCCACTAACTGCATGTCTTTGGACGGGGAGAACATGCAAACTCCACACAGGAATGGTGGATTCGAACCCAAGACGTTCTTGCTGTGAGGCCACAATTCTAATCACAGTGTGGCACCATGCCTCACATGAACATTACACAATAAAATAAGTTCAATTCAAGATAATTATCTGGTGTGTCAGCTGGAATTTAAGGTTGTGTAGCACAGGAAGAGTAACTAGGAGGCCACATGACTCAGATGTTAAACTCAGATTTAAAACTGCAATTAATAAAAATTTTTGGCTGCAGACTCAATATATATGAAGCCACGCTATCATTCACTTTCACTTTCTTTCAGTCTCCATCAGCACCACTGCTAAGTGCGTAACTACATTCGGTGCCTATTGCTGTCTCTGTTTTGCTGTTGTTTGATGTTGCGTAGCTGCAGCAAGCTTATCAAAGATCTTTAACAAAAAGGGGATGCTTGGTGTAGCCAATAGTGACTGATCAGAGTAGTGAGAATGAAAAAAAGAGTAACATTGAAGGCAACTAAAAGAGCGACCTTGAATAAGCTAAAAAAGATCCAAAGAGCAGAGAAGTTCAGTCTGAGTTCATTGTCAGTGAGAAAGCCTTCATGTTACAGGCAGTTATTTCCCCAGTTGTTGTCCAAATACTGGTGTAAGGAAATTCAAATATTAAATATTATATGCTTTACCTTACAGTGCCTGATATGACTTATATACACACGGATTCAGATCCTTTGTGTAAGTTTATTTTTTCCTTCCTTTACACTAAAAATATCCCACATCATTCCTTTTACCTTGATTCCCTCTATCCTGAAGCCCAGGGTGTTAGTGGAGCTCATGGACTCCCTCCACTGCATGTAACGAGGCTTGGTTACCCCCCGCTGGGAATGCTCGTGAGGAGTTGGCCCCTCGCTGTCTACCTCCACCATTTTGTTATAGAGGTCTTCTCTCGGCTTGGGCCGTTCCCTCGCTCTCACAAGCTCCTCCTCCAGGTAGGTCCTTCAACAAGAATGGAGCAAAGGATTTTCAGGTGCTGAATTTAGGCTATTGGCATTTGAAGTGAGAAGTTTAAAGGCACAGAAATGTCAGTGGACTTTCAGGGTTTGTCTGGCTTTAATCACTTATCTTGAGTAATTAAGATGAAAGATAAGTAAGATTAGTCAACACTCGCCTACTCCTTTTTCATGCTCAACTTTACAGAGCAATTTTTCTTAAGTTGTGCTAAAAGCCAAAGAGATCTACACCCTTCTAGCAAATGTTAGAAGAGCTTATCAGTGCACAGAAGAGGGGGGGAAAGAAAACCTGCAACTCTAAAAGCCTTTATTTCTGTTTATGAACATTCCAGCAGCACACTCACAGTTGGCATAAAGTTACGTGCAAACAGATGCTAATTTCATTTTCAGTTTGCGAGCCACACTTCCTCTGTGCTGAAGAGGGAAGCTAAGAGGAGACTCCAGTGTGCAGCATTTAGCTGAGTGAAAGCGTGAGTGTGTGTTTGTGCAACTTAGCGGTTTTGCAACTGTGTGGTTGAGAGTGTTTTTGACAAAGGGGAGTCTCCAGGGACACCCTGAGTGTGTGAAACTCTGTGTATGCATACGAATAGTTTAGAAATAAAGACACGCAAACACCAAACAGGCAATAAAACGCTATGCTGGGTGTTTCTGTAAGTGTAGTGTGTGTAACTCTTCTGCGTGTGTGTTTTTTTTGAGTCAGTGTCTCTAAGTCCGTGTGCGTATGTGCGTCTGCGTATTTTTTTTGCTGAACCGGAAACAAAACCCTCAGAGGGGTGAGTGTCAGTACCTGCATGCCTCTGCATGCACTAACATATGCATGTATACGCTCATGTGTGCATTCAAGCATATATGTATGCCATTGTGTGTTTGTATGCGCGTGTGCGAGCGCATGTGTGTGTTTGCCTATTTGTGCACATGATACACTGAGACACCCCACCCGCTGTGGCAGGAAGCCAAGCATATAGCCTGCAGTTAGAACAGGTGTTCCCTTGTAGAGCAAAACCACTTTAAGCTGTATGTACCATCACTCGCCTGCACTTTCCTATTAATTCATTAAAAAAAACACAATAAAAACAGTGCATAAAAATTAATTACATGTAAATAAGACAGTGAAGACATAACTTTCATACCTTACTCCCATTTTGCAGTCCATAACATTAGGAAGGTCAAAGTTTGCCAGTAAATCAGTCATATGAAGGAAAGACTCTCCGTCTTTTTCCACAACACCGTGGTATCCAGGCACAAACGGGAGCAATGCGTCATTCCTCAGCTTCTCGAAACACTGCATCTCGTTCTCTGAGAACTTTTTCAGAATGGTGCCCTCATCTGCTGCTTTGAAGTTGCCTGAGATTAGATGAAGACAGGAATGAACAACGGCCTGATTTTGCCAGTGTGAGGTAAATATACCTGCATGTGGAGACTTGGGAGATACTGGGAAATTAAAGTGTCCTTCAATGTAAATTCATTGTCTGTGACAAGTAGGTACTCTAAAGTAACGTTACATTTTCTTTTAAATTAAATTAAATGACTCGTAACCAAGCAAAGACTTCTGTGGATGAAAAACAAGGAGGTACCTAAAGTTGCTGCAGTTCTTTGATCGGTCACTTGAGGCAGGTTCCAAAAGAACCGCCCTCTGACCCTCATGTAACAAATACCAAATTCAGTCATGCTTAAAAATGGCTTTAGTCTTTCCCATTTCTTTGCCTCTTCTTGACAACAAAACAGGGCT